TCTGTCTGCCTATAGACTCTGCTTTCAGAGCAGCTCTAGACACTGATGCCTCCTAACGTTCAGAAAGCAGAAGGCACATCCTGAGACATGCCTGTGAAGTGAATTACGGTGGGGGGGGGGAAATGTGTCAAGATTTTCCCTGATGCACAATGGGCTTCAAAATCCATGTTGAGGAAAAACGGTGACGGGGATATAATTAGTGGAGCTGAGGCACTGTGTGATGAATGCCACACTTGGTATGAGGGAGGTGTATGGGCAGCATAGCTCTGGGTGACGAGCACTGGAGTAGCAAGCGTAGCTGTGGGTCGAGACTGAGATGTCCTGGCAGAGTTTTGTGGGACCCCAGTCCCTGGAACAGCTGGCAGTCTGCTCACAACCAAACGACATGTTCACTGTGGGCATCTGAGGGTTTTTAAAAGTTTGCATTGTGTTAGCCTCATGCCTAACAAGGACATCTATGGGTTAGTTCTATTTTTAAGGCATCCAAGAAAGAGAAGAACAAAAAATAAAATACTTAACAAGATTTCTAGCTCTGATTTATTGGTACTTAGCCAGTAACAATTGGTCATGGGCATTGTGTATTTCACAACAAAGGGTTAATGTATTTAACATTGCTGGAGAAAATACTGCATTCATTTCATTGGTATGTTTATTAGTAATATTATCTCCCTTCCTTTGGGGAGGGTTTCCTTTACCCGTACTCCGCGAAGGATTTATATTGCTTCCTCTTTGCGAGCGAGAATGAAGAACTTCCCAGAGAAATCACAGCTGTCATCGATATTATCATCCCTGACGAGAACCTCAAACTCCTGAATGATGAAGCCAGTTTCACTGAGGGCTTCTCTCAGAAATTCCTCTTTCAGGACCAAACACGAGAACCTTTTGGGGCCAACCATGTAGAAACTGCAGCTCAAAACTCCACTCAGCACCAAGTGCCCTCCTGGCTTTAACAGGGAGCTGATGTTCTTCAGAGCAAGGCGATAAGTGGTCAGATCTTTGCAAGCAGCTTCCAAGCACAGTGATGAGATGAGGCAGTCAGCTGGAGGCAGGACAATTGGATCCAAGGGGTTGCTTTTGTGGACATCACATTTTAGAACCTGTTTGATGGTTTTCCTTAGTTTTGCCTCTTTCTCAGCCTCCTTTCCCCTGCAGAGACATACACATATACAATACAAGATGAACTCCAAAGGGTTATCTGCAATTTCAGTGTCTTTCTATGATCTAGGTGTGAGTATTAGAAGGAAAACATAATTCGCTAGAGTGATGTCTGTTTGTAGGACCTTGTGTTAACTTTATCTTTAGTTCCCTTTCCACGGGTCATGCTTTAAGATATGCTGGAATGCCAAGCAGCATTAAGTCCTTGCCACCACATTTTGCTCAGAAGTCATCAAACTTTTTCAACCAGGGTCATGAGCTCTGGCTACTTTTTCAGTGGACCCTCTGTCTGAATTTTGGATTTTTAAAAAATCTGAAACCAGATGAATTTACCCTTGCCTCTGCATTTCAGACGGGAAAAGTGCCAATATCAGTTGATAGCTCTCTCCAAGATCTTTGATGCTGAGACCTCCTGGGGACCCTATACAGACGCCTACCATGACTGAAAACCACATTCCCCCTGCTCTTTATTTTCTCCCTAAAATTTTTGCCTGTATTCACCACTGATTATGTTGCAGCTTCCAGCTGATCAGTATAAGTAGATGCTGCTGCACAGACAGACTAAGCAATACACAAGGACTTTAGACAATCTGCTTTTTCCAGCCCCTGTACCTGTTTCCCTCTAGCTCACACACGTATTTCACCACTGGAGTCCAGTCAAACGCTTCTGGCTCATTCTTCAGCCATTTCTCCAGTTCCCAGTGGTTCCGGTCTGTATAGTCTGAAGCGATGATCTCCTTAAAGGACTCGCAGGCAGAGAGTAGCTGGTGGATGGTGGGGCCACTGCCAATATCAATCAGGGTGTCCCCTTTCACCACACCTGGTTCAGAATACAGAATTCCTGGAGCTCATTGCATCTTAACCAAACAAAATGCAACTTGGTCTCAATTAAACTTAGTTGATTTAGTCTAATACATCTAGCGTTAATCTTGCTTCCATTGAAGACAATGGCCAAACGCCTAGTGACTTGCCCCCCTGTGCCGCAAGGTGAGACTTGATCAACTGCCAGAGCATGTTTCTTCCACATCAGATAGGCGTGACCATGGAAACCAAATAACTAATGCATATTACAGGATACTTCGCCACAACCCAGGCCAAAGGTGCCATGACAATAACCTGGTTTCTTATGTCACAGACAAGCATAGGCGCGGGAATCAGGGGTGCAGGAGGTGCTGCAGCACCCTCAGGTTTTATGCAGGGCTCTGGGGCCCCGGCAGCCGGACCCACACCCGGGCTCTGCTTCTGGCCCCCAGCAGGTTCCCGGCGCATGCCTGGGTTCCCAGCTGCCGGCCCCAGCTTTGTCCCCCTTACCCTGTTCGGGTCCACCCCTCCCGGAGACACGGCTCTGCTCCCAGCCCCAGCTCTTGGGTGGGGCATGGACTGGGGGAGGGGGCTGCTTTCAGCTCCCCCACTATTAAAAATGTTCCAGCGCCACGGCAGAGAAGGATAGACAAGCCAAGGATGAGTCCCAAATCCCACCAACAGGGCATACCTGAAGTGAAGGTTTTACAATAATGTTTCAGGGCAAAGTTAAGATATTCCTCTCCCAAGGTGTCTTCTCCAAATTTAAAATATCCGAGATAGGCCTTTGGATCAAACTCTGCCTGGTAATCATCTCCTCCGGTGAACTCAGCCATGGTGCTCGCTCGGAGTCTGCACATCAACTGTGCTGGTTTTCCCAGGGTCCCCTGCCCACACTGAGCTGCCCCTGGTGACGCACTCTCTGAACTCTGCCTTTTAACACTTTCATGTGCCTGCAAGAAGAGTGCAGCTGTGGAACTCAGCCCCTACGGTCTTTAAGGTTAGATGTACAACTTGGTGTTGCTTAAAAACTTTTTCTCTTAATCTCATTTGCTTTTCACAACTCCAGGGCAGATTACAGGTCCCTAATGGAATCCCAGGCTGGAAGCTGATATAAAGTTCTAGGAATAGTTAACAGCATTAGGCCAGCCTCTGCCCTTCTAGAGCTCAAAAGCAGATACTTGCTTAGTGAAAGGGCTCTGAGATTAGGCCAAGGTCCTGTCACAGACTTTCGGGCGCTAATGCAGAGCTGTAACTAGGCATTTTAGCGCCAGGGGTGAGCTTGCAGATTTGCGCCCCATAGCGGCAATGCGTAGAGGCAGGATGGCCGGCTCCCATCAGCTTCTAATCC